CGCTGCCCCCGGCGCTGCCCGACCCGACCCGACCCGTCCCGACCCGTCCGCAGGTGCTGGGGGACCTCTCGCAATGTTCCCGCGACCTCTTCGAGCACCGGGCCGAGCTGGACGGCGTCCTGGCCGAGCTGGCCGCGCACGGGCACGAGGTGCTGGAGGACAAGAGGTCCGTTGGGCGCCATTCCTGGGCGCTTCTGTGTGTTTTATTGCCCTCTTCTTTTTTACGGGTTAAAAAAATGAGTGGTTTGGGGAGCCAACACAGCTCTGTGCCCTCCACAGCATCCAGCAGATCGAGTGCTGCCTGGAGAAGATGCAGCTCATACACAAGCAGTTCAAGCAGGCCAGGACGTGTCTGCGTAAGTGGTGGGCGAGGAAGAGCTTCTCTTGCCTTCGCAGTGACCCAGTTTTACTGCTGATTTGCTGTTTTTAGCAGCTATCTGCGCCGTGGCAATCACCCTGGGGCTCCGGCTCCCCTGGGATGCCCGGCTGGGTCATGGAGTTGCCCATTCCCCAAATTAGGACCACGAAGGGGCCGAGCTGCTGCCCGGCAGCTCAATGTGTCTTTTCCCCCCAGGGCTGGGCTATAACGAGGAGCAAATACACAAGCTGGACAAGTGAGTAACGAGCTGCTGAATTCACCGTGGAGTGTCCAGCCCTCATGCTCCATGGAGCCTGCTTTAGGCCTCCTCTTAGCTAAACTGCAGTGCTTATTTTCGTGCTCATAAAGAAATAACATTTCTCCCCTTCGTCTCTTTTCCTCTCCTGTCTTTAGGGTGAATTTAGGACATTTGGCCAGGAAGGTGCTGCTGATTTTCCAGGACGACTGTGTGCAGAGGTACCAAGAGATGCTGGCCCTGCACGGGAGCAGAATGAGGTACCAGCCCCTTCCTCGGGTCTCTCCCACAGGCCCGAGCACTTTGCTTTGCCACGAGAGCTGCCCTTGGGTTTTAAATTACTAAAAAGAGCCCCAAATCAGCCCAATGTTGTGGCTTCGTTTGAGGCAGCTGGTTCCTTGCTCTTTGCTGGGGAGAGGTTGTTGTACCAGGACAAAATTGCTGTTGAGATGAAGAGATCTGCTCGCTGGGAATGATGTTACGTTAAAAGGTGTTTGGGGAATAAGGCAAAGATCAAATTACCTTGCAGTGATTAAGTGCAATTCACTGGCTATTGCTGCAGCAGAGAGCGGGGGCGAGGGGGAGGCAGCTAGAAGAAAAGGATGTTGCAGAAACCGGATTTTTATTGCAAGGTGGTTTTTAAAGCAGATCACCTGTCCCTCCGGGTGGAGGTGTGGGCGGAAAAAGATGGATTTGCTGGGATGCCTTAGCACGGAGACCTGCTCTGGACCTGGTGTTTTGGGTACGGGGTTGACCGGCGCAGGGTTTCCGAGGGAGAGGGCTCCCCAGCCTGATCCCGGTGCATTAAACCTGTATCAGATCCATGCAGTGCATTAACCTCCAGCGCTGGGGCCGGAGCCCTGTGCAGGGGGGAAAAAAGATTCCCCATGTTTTCCTGGATTATTTTTGCACCTGTTTTCCTGTCCTCATGAGTCACAGCAGGATATTTTAAACTTATTTTTGCTTCAGGTTTAATGGCCGTGTTTTGCTCCCGCTGGCAGCCAGGGTTTGTGGTGTGGTGGGTGTTTTTCTGGCGCCTGCATATGGACCGCTCACCCCAAATACCTCCCTGGTTTTGAGCCAAACCAAACCAGGATCTTTTTTGGCACCGTGTGGCCCGCGGGGCAGACGGACCCTCCGCCCTCGGGCACTGGTGCTCGGTCCCCAAGGGTCACAGGATGGAGCAGGTCTGAGTTTTGTGCTTCCCTGCCTGGCTGTGCAATATTCCCATGCAGAAGGGGCTCCCGGGCAAATCAGGGGCTGCCGAATCCTTCCAGCCTTTATAAAGCATCAAATCCTAAAGCAGCCCATGCCGATTTTAGTAGAAACCCAAGTAGCTTTTAGAGGGGAGGCTCTTGGCAGGGGACAGGAGAGCAGCCAGTGCGTCACTCGGGGTGGCAGCCACGGTCCTGCACTTTCCCTAAGGAGTTTGCTCTCTGTGCTCTTTGGATAGCCCCGCTGCAGCTGGAATTACAGCACTGCTGTGACTCATCCGCTTTCCTTTAGGATTTTAGCTTAAAACTGGTACGGCTTACAGAAAACTCTACAAAACGAAAACAAAAGAGAGAAGAAAAAAAATCCATGTTGCTGCTAAACACTGACTGGTGTTTTCTTTCTGTTCTGTATTTCTATTCTTGCTAGGAAAGTCTGCAAGATCAAGAAGCACCTGAAGAGGCTCAGCACCTGCATGAGCGCCGGCGGCGCGGCGATGTCGGAGTGCCAGGACTGCCTGCAGCGCGTGGGTGCTCGGCTTCGGGATACGGCTGGGGCCACTTGCGTAGGGAAGCCCAGAGGCTGCTTCCCTGTTCCTAAACGGGGAATTTTTGCCATGTTTTGGGAGTGGTGCCGTCGCTTGGGGTTGTTTCCTCCTGCTGAGCAGGGCAGGGTGCGGGGGAACCTCAGCAGAGGCACCTGAACCTGTGGCTCCCTGTCCGTAAGCGTCAGTCTGTCTGGCTCTCCGCATCAGTCTGTACTGGGATAAAGAGGAGATTGCGGTAGTGGACAACACGATGCTCCACCTTTAGTTATCCCGATGGATCACCTGGAATTTTGCAGTATAGACACCTAGCAGATGCTCTGGTCCTTGTTTTATTTGTCCTAACGGGGTGGATGTGCTGGGCATATCCCCAAACATTTCATCACTGCTGCTCCGGGCCGGTGCCCAGGGATTAGCCCGTAGGAAGCAGCAGCCTCCCGTCTCCGCAGGCTTCGGACACATTCCTCCAGACGGTCCTGCCGGAGACGCAGCATTTGTCACCGGCCCCTTTGCCGGCTCCTCTGAACCCGGCGCGCCACGATATGGCCCTTAGGTGAGTCCTGGAGCGGCCGCACGGAGCAGCCGGAGCGTCGGGACGGTGAGTTCTGGGGAAGCGGAGTCCCCGATGTGCAAGGCCTCGTTTGGGATCCCGGCAGGATGCAGGAGCTGCTGGAGCAGATGAGGTCGGTCGCGTGCGAGCTCCAGGTCAACAACAGCATCATCGAGCGGTGAGGAGCATCCCGAACCCGTCCCGCTCCGCGGCACCCGGCACCGAGCAGGACCAGGCAGTGCCGGGCGGGTCACGGTCACGTTTAATGACACTGGGTTTACATCACGGTCTGGCAGCGCAGGGACGTTCATCTTGCTGGGAAGCCTGAGCATGATCTTCTGTAAATGCTATTTCATCTCCACCACCCCGTTCCCAGTGTTCTTCCCAGGCTGCTCCGCACAGCTGGCTGCTAGAGGCCACGGGGTCCTTTCTGTTCCTGGACTAAACTCCATGGAAAACCAGCCTGCTGCTGCTGCCAAAACCCTCTCGTCCTTCCCCTGTGCAGCCCATTTTTGAGGACCATAATGCAAAACAGCAGCATGAATTCAAAAATCTCAAAAAGCTTCTGATCAGGTTTGAAAAGGAAGAAATTCATTGATTTAGGCTCTTTCATCCCAGATGTGCTTTCATAGGGACTAATGAAAAAAAGGGAATAAAAAAAGGGGACAAGAAAGGGTCTGTTGTGCTTTGATATGAACAGATACCAAGAGATGCAGGAACCAGCTCAAAGCTTGTTTCCAGACCCAAAATCTCGTGCAGGTTTTGGTGCAGGGTGAAAGAGGGTGCTTAGGTTGGGGGCCTCTCTCAGCTAAATCCTTCTCTCTTGTTCCTGCAGGTTAGACGGGGCTGCTCCCACTGCCGGAATTTGAGAGATGCGGTGGATTTGGAGCCACAGAAGCCAGCGGGACTCTCCGGGGACCGGAGCGCTCCTGGCTCCTCGGGTCCATCCGTGTTTCGGGAACTCTCCTTATCCTACCTCTCTGCTCCAGCGTTTTTGCACAGTTTCACCAGCATTAGCTTCGAGCGGTTTGCAAGCCTCGAGCCTGCCAAAATTTGCCCAGGAGGTTGTTGAGGTGGCACCAACCTGGCGCATGGTGGGCAGGAGGCTGACGCAGCCCGGGCGGGCTCATCCGGGGGATCCTGGCACGGGAAAAGCGGCTGCTGGCAAAGGCGGCACCTCCGATCCGTGGGACTGCCGGGATTGCGGGGACCGGGGGAACGGGAAGCCAAGGGACGTTCCCCTTGTCAGGAGTGTTTCTGTTCCGAGGTCTGTGTCCGTGTGCTTGAACGATGCTGTATTGAGAATACACTGCTGTCCACTTGACCGGGATTGCTACATGTGAGGCAAAGCTCGGGAGCAGGATGCTTCCCTTGGGAGAAATGGGATAGAGGGAAGCACGGGAGTTTTGGGGCACTTTGGGACACTTTGGGGCAGGTTTCCAGCTAGAAGAGGCTGAGGGTGCCACAGAGCTCTCCCCTGCACAGAGCATTTGGCGAAGTCAGAGCATTCCTCTTGCTCTTGATTTTAAAACCACCATCCCAACCGCTGAGCCAAGCTCCTTGTTATGGAAGGGGTACAACTACACCATAATTTAAAGGCTTTTTTTCCCCCCACACAAACTATTTTCTGGCATTCTCCCAATTTTATAACTTGCATCATTTTTCTGTCCAGCTCTGATTTACCATGGTGCCGTTGGAGCCCTGACCCCGCTGGCTGCCACCCTGCCCTTAATGGAGCGTCTGAGAGGGATTTATTTCTTGGCAAAGGGAAAAAGGAATGGGGGGGTGAGGGCGGGGGTGCAGTTTGCACCAGTCGTCCTTGTCGCGCTTGAACTGCCCCAACGTGGCCGCTGCAAAGCGACATTCCTGCGTCCCGTGGGGTGGGGGGATCCCACGGCGAGGGGTCCCGTGGACGGAGGTTTCACGGCGGGGGGTCCCGGGGGGATCCCGTGGACGGAGGTTTCACGGCGGGGGATTCCCGCGGGGGCGGCGCCCTCGGGGCGGGCCGGTGCCTCCCCCGCCCCGGCCGCGCCTCTTCCTCCTCCTCCTCCTCCTGCTCCTCCTCCTCCTCCTCTGCCGCCGTCACCTCCTGCTGCCCATCAGCCTCCCGGCCCCTGCACATCGCAGACGAACAAGAAACCAGGGAGGGGGGAAAATAATTTTACCAAGGGTCTAATCCCCATGCGCTGGCATCATCTGCCCGTGTCACGTTCTCACACACGTGCCCCACCGCAGCGTACGGGCACTTCACCTTGCGACTCCCTTGCTTAAAGCAGAGCCGTACGCAAGGAAGCACGAACGAAGCCAACTCTGCTCCTGCCAACCCGGGCGGACCCCGGGGTGACGCTGCGCCCCTGCGCTCCGCGATGGCGTTTCTGTGCAGCGGAGCCTGCAGCAGCGCCCGAACCACCCGCCAAGCGGCGGCCGCTTCCAAACCGCAGCGTGGCGCGAGGCCGGCGGCGGC